CAAATAATGAAGTCCTTTGTTTCTGAACCAGAAGTTTCATGCCTTCTGCCAACATCCATGAAATTGTGGCAGGCTAACTTACTAGCTTACCAAGTATAGCAAAGCCTTAGAACCTTCACCGATTTTGATATCTAATTGCTATCTGTGAAGTTATCATGTTGATCCCATAATACCCTTCTTTAACAACTTTCCCAAAGCCATTATTTACCTTGTCTTTATTTAAGTGTACTTAAGTAAGGTCCATACTTTGTCTTCATCCAAAGGACTCAAGACTATTTAATGGTTTAAAATACAGTGCAAGAAAACACACTGCAGGCAAATGTTACTCTCTAGAGGAGGAAAAAGGGAAGGTTTTGCCTTCTTCCACTGTTAGAGGCAGCAAAATGGCAAATAAAAAAAATGATTTTCAAAATCTCCCCCCTGAAAAGAACAAAACAACTCTACAGCAGGTGTAGCAGGCAGGGCTTTGGCCTTGGGTAGAGTTCCCGAGAGATTTTGTTTAATTGACCAAGTGGCATCAAGGAGAAGCAGTTAGATGAGGTATGGGGAGGTGGAGCAAGCCCCAAGTCACAGAGCCACAAGGAATCTAGTTTCCTGCCAATTCATGAAATACGGGTTGGAGGTGTCCAAAAGTTTTATGCAAGGGAACCAGCATGCATTAGGCTGATGATTGATGATATTCTACTGCTACTGTGCCAGCTGGAAAAAGGATACCAGATGTTTCTGATTTCTGCCATGTGGATGAAGTAACCTAGTGTAGAGTCTACACCTGAAGGGGACTCAAAACATGTTACACAACAAAGGTGACAAAGATGCTCAATGACTGGTAATAACAACAGCCATAATGATAAATGATACATATATGAAAAATGATTATTCATTTAAACAAATTGACCATTTTGTGATATAACTATATATCTATATTTTAGTTCCAGGTGCGAGGATCAGGTGGCTAGGGGAATTGTCATATTTACCAGCACTCTAAATGCTGAATATCTAAAAGAAACTATTAGTGTATCATGTCAACAATTTCTCTAAATGCCTCCAGGTGAGTACTGGTGAGAGCACATGGCCATACAGGCTATGGTCCATATCTCCAGGCCAAATAATGAGATATTTGGAAATATCTAGGAATCCAATTATAAGTAGGGAAAAACATCACTGTTGAACATAATTTTCCCTGACACAAAATTAATATAGTGTGGTGAAATTTGCAAATGCATCTCTAAAGTATTATTTCTATGTGCAATTGGTGGGCAGGGTGAAAGAAGATATGCAGTTGTTCATTTGGAAAACAATACAATAATTAATAATAATTAAAAATAAAACTGATTTGCATATTCACAACTGTAAACCTACTTTCGCCCCACCCCATAAAGCACTAAACTAAAAATAAGAAAAATAATCCAGCCATTATATATGCTTTCGTGGTGTCACTAGTAGGTGAAAGATACGGAAAAACTCTTGATGGCAGCTTCCTTCTACCAGAAAAGGCCACCTGTCTCCATCTAGCCTTAGGAGGGACTCAGGTGTGTAAGACAAGGAGCAAGGAAGGAACACAGTTCTAGCCTCCAAGGAAGTAGCTCAACCCTGGGCCACCCCACAGAGACCACTGTCAATACCTAGTTTTGAGATGAGTGGTTTTCTCCACTTTGTTTCCATGAAATAGGTTTCCTAGATCTGGCACCCACTGGGATAGCAGGTTATTTTGCTATATTGATTTCACTTCTCAAGAGTCACACCAAAGAATTCTATGCCAAGGAGAACATTCTCTGGTTTGTAAGAACAATTTATTTGTTTCTAGCATCATCTGTGAGTTTCTTGAAATAAAAGGAAATAAACTTATCAGATAGATATTCAGATGTGTACCACCAGAGCTAAGTGAATAAAAGGAAAGGACAATGAAACAATGGGCAAAGAGATAGGCCCTTCCACATTTACCTAAATTTAGGGATGATTGTCTCTGTTAATCACAACACAATGCAAAGGAGAATGCATGTAAATACCCATTTGTCCTCACTTGGGCCTCCTAAGTTTTACGCAGAGAAAAAATATTCAGACCATCACCACTAAGGCTAGGCAGTGCTGGGACAAACATCTGCCATGAGCCACCAGAGGACCAGATGGAAAAATAATTCCAGCACACGCCGACTTGATGGTGGGGGTAGTGGCATAATTCATATAAAAGTTATAGCAGATTGAGCTGGGAAGGTTTTTGGCTCAAAGATCTCACTAGATGGCACACAGTGTTGTGGCTATTTTACCATTAGCCCTTCCCTCTTTTAAAATATTTTCCTAAGAGAAAAAGTAAAGAAGCTTTTGACGTTTTCATATCTTCTGCTGTTGAAACTCCTCCAGAAGCTGAGTAAGGAGATTTAACAAGAAAAGAACCCATAAAGTGACCTTGCATCCCAAGGTACTTAAAATTCAGTGACAACTGGATTTGGTTTTCCTTTTTCTGTAAATATAATTCTGAAATGTAGGCCCCGATTTTGCAGATACGGGGGAGAAGGTGTGGCATTGAGTGAACACCACCCCAAGTGCTGTGACACCATGACGCCCTGAGAGCGGCTGGGCTGGGAGCCAAAACGCTGGCTGTCCTCCCAGCAGGGAGCAGCAAGTTCTGATGCAAACCTTCCCGTCTCTTTGAGACTCTGTAGAAGACGGACACTAGCACCCCCCGCTTAATTAACTCCATGACGAGGTATTAAATAGTAGTATTGGGCGGGGGGCAGACCATGACAGAAACGTGAAGCGGATGATTATCATGCGATTCCACAAGGAGAAAGAATGAAAAAGCGAGTGAACCCCTGGCACATTTGGACGACATAATGCCAGGTGTTTGGTGCAGGACAAACATCTGGATGTGTGATTATATTTTTTATTCTTCCTCCAGATGTTGGGATATTGTAAATGTTAGGGCTAAGCAAAAAATTGGTTTGAACATTTGAAAATGGGACCTGGTAAAAAGAATAGGCTATTATTTGGATGCTAGCAGAATGTTTTAAATAGCAATAACAGACTAGGCTGAGGGACACCTTTCTGTCCTACCACCTTCGTATTTCTGTCGTAAGGGCGAAGATCCTCAATTCAGCAAAAAGCCTCAGCAGTTCTTTCTGAGACCACTTTCTAATAGCATTTCTTCTCACACACTTATAATTTCCTGTTGTATCATTCAGTTATGTACTAGGACAAGGATGTTAGACTAATTACTGGTCTCAATTGGCCTGGATGATAATTAGTTAACACGTGATGGACAGCTCTTCTAGATTCCACAAGAGCCACTGTTTTCTTTTTCAGAAAACAACAAGTATCAGACAATGCTATTGTACCAATTTGCAATCATGTCTAAGTTCAAGTTCTGTATTCTTTTTCCAGAGGCAGAGACCGCTCACTCAGTGTGTGATTTCAGGCAAACATTCGTTCAGTTTCTATTAATTCCTTCTTTGCAGAGGAAACTGACATTTGCTATTTATCTTTCTGAAAGCATACTGAAATAACTTTATTTTCTCCCAAGTACATACTGTATATACTCAAAATTAGTATGTTCTGCATTCTTATTGAAATTTAAAGTGTTCCTTTTAATTGGCTAGAACAGCCTCAGGTTTGACAGTAACTGGACAAAATGCTTGAGGAGCTCTCTTTTTGCCACAAACAGACATCAGGTAGATTAAAAAATTTGAGGACAAAGAATATTTATAGATACTGACAAGTCCCTCTCAGCTTGGGGCTACACTGTATTTCACAGCTGAGACAACCATTCAGTAAACTTCCGACATACAACAATTAGAATTAAAAGTCCCAATATTAATTCTGTACTAGTTTGCAGGAAAATATTTTTTATATTGCCTTTGGAAATACCACAATTTAGATAGAGCAGTGATATCAGGCAGGGTTTGTAAAGCACAAAGTTTTTACAGAAGAGTCTTTATTCCTGATTTTCAGAGTCTCAATATTTTAAGAGTGATATTATTCATCTATGACTAAGCCATCTACCTGGGACAATCTTCTATGGCTGGGGCACCAAGGGAAACTGGATGTGACAGAGAGCTATGGTGCAGCCAGCCTGCTCCTGCAGAATGAGCTCTGAGGCTTGGAGAGCCAGCAAAGAATTGGACAGACAATTTTGTTCTGTTACATCCAGTTCTGCTGAGGTCATGGAGTCCTGCCTTGTTGAAATTAAACTTTATGCCATATTTAGTCAGCCCTCCTAGAGTTAAAAGTTTAGTGTCTCTTCAGTTGGCTAAGTCTATGTCAGGCTGCCAGCCATAACGCTCGATGAAACCCAACAGTGCTAGCTGCACAGTCAACACACACTGTGGAGTCGCTTGTGCCCAAGAACCATCCCCTCTGTTAATGTCAAAGAAAACGGACCCGCTATTCTCAGAGCAGCCAGGGAAACAGCTGATCCTCCAAGGCTGCAGTGTACAACATCCTTGTTTTTCCCCCAAATAAAGCTAACGCGACAGGGAATTTTTCCAGGGAGAGCCTGTCTGTCTGCACACAAGCACCTCCACCCATACCACGTGCCAGTAATCTTCACTATTCAATTTTTTCTTCTTCTTCAACATTTAACTCCTATTTGCACCAAGTCCACATTTTTTCTTTGATTAATTTTATTCTCCATCGGGTTCATTTAAACCAGACCAATAATTCCTAGGGTAAGAACATTTCAAAGTGGCCACTTTGTGGGGCAGATCCAATAAGTAAATAATATCCAAATTATAGAGAACTAAGTTAAAACCCTGTGATTTAGGATTAGATGTCAAAGTGAATCTTATTTTTGGTATTCTTTTTCAATGACCATACACTGACAATCCTTCCAAGTAATTTTGCTTTAATATTTTATTTGTGGCAACTCGGGTTGCAGTCAGCCCCTAAGCTTATGCTTAGTTGACCGACAGTATTAGTTTGAACGAAAGAATGGTTATAACTGGCCAGACAAAGCCTGTCTGGTGTTAATGAGCCCATCAGTGTCCCTCTCCTGTCCCAGCACTCACCTTGGGGATGCTGAGGTGTTCCCGGGGAGGAGGATGCTCCCGTGAGAGCCTCTTGTGAGTCTAGAGATGAAGGGCCTGGACTTAGAGGGGCGGGGGAGGCAGGGGCTGCTGGTGAGGTCAGGTCCAAGGAGAGGTCAGCTCTGCTGCCGCTCGCGCTCCGGCTTCTCAGTTCCTTCTCATGCGCCTCAGCTGCCAACTGCTCCAAGTATTTGTATCTGAAAGTTAAATTCCAAAGGGTTTCCGTAAAAAGAAAGAGGAGCTCGTGGCTGATGCTTGTTTATGGACGAAACACCTGCAGAGTGAGCTGCTTTCCTGATGCGCAGAGCACAGCGCAGGACTGGCTGGAGGGCCCGGTTGCCAGAAACACCCAGCAAAGCCAAGATGCTAATGATTAAAAATCCTGCATCATGCATAACCAAACAAATTGGGGGGAATGGCCACATCCCACAGTCTCCAGATACTGGATCACTGCTTCAGAATCCTAGTTTGCTCTTTTAGGAAACATGTGCACAAATAAGCAAAATGACAATAAGGACCATCAAAAAGGCCCAACAGTGACAGCTGAAAAACACACGCCCTCGGAGCTCACAGCTGTGAAATGGGAAGGTGCCCTTCTGTGGCAGAGAGAAACAGTGCCTCCCAAATACCAAAAGGGGGTGTTGGACAAAGGCCTCCCTGAATTTCTGAACCTGCCTCAGTGCTAACAGCAATGTGAGTGGAATTCACTTTGTTCTCCCGGTGTCGACCATGGAAACTTTTTTATATACTAAAATATTTCTGAGTCGGACTCAGACATCCAATAGCTTGGACCTGACGTCACATATAGTTTATTCATCAAAGTCAGTTTAAAAGAACAAAGATACATCTGTTTTGCATTTCAGGCAGGCAGAACCCACTAACTGTTTATTAAGACCAGCTACCAATCATATTCCTCGTGGTGCGCTTTATAGATCAGACCAAAATAACTTTGAAATATGTGCCTCTTCCAGATGTCTGCTAATTTTACCCACCATTATTTGTTCAGGAATAAATTTATGAACCCAGCTGTAGCTGGGTTCTGACTATCTTACCCACCACTAACCTTTGAAACAGCTTATTCAAGACCCTGACTCATATCCATCCAGATTTACTGCTTCAGTTCCTCCCTGTGGGCAAGCTCTCAACCCAGCCCCAAACAGCCCCCATAGATAACCTGGATAAGAAAGGTGGGGCACCTATATAAAACCTGGATAAGAAAGGTGGAGCACCTATATAAAACCTTTAAAAATGCATTTAAAAAGCATGCATTTCTTCATTCGCCCTTCAGGGGGGCATGGCTCCCCCACATCTGTAATCATCAGCCCGTCTTCCTGCCAGTCCAACAGCAGCCTGCCCTCCAGGCCAGGCCCCGATGCTCGCCTCCCCGTGAGGCCGGCCTTGACCACCACAGCTGGAAGTGATCTTGGCCTTGCCTCTGAACTCATGTCGGATATGTAGTCCATTCAACTCAGATGGCATTTTACATTCACTGCCTGGCATATTTAGTCATCTTTTCACATGTGTGTGTCTGTTTCCAACAAGCAGATAATAGGATTTTTGAGAACAGGAAGATTACCCTCCTTTGTTCTTTCCCTTGGCACCTTGCACTTGAGTTGGCGCGAAACAAGCAGAGCGTGCGGTGGGAACCCTGCAGGGTGGCACCCTGCCTGCAGAGGTGCCCCTAAAGCACCGGATGCCAATGGGGCAAATGCACCCTATCTCACTTTCTTGGGGAGTGGGCTTACTCACACGGTGAATCTCTGAAAAAAAGATGTGTGGGGGGTCTGCATAGACACAAACATCTGCTATTACCTTCAAGAACAGCTACTTCCCAGTGGAAGGACGGAGATGCTATGCTCAGAAAGCTTTAGAAACTCTGGGCTTTTCGTGCCGACATCACCTTAGAAAATGTAGGAGAGGTGACGAAAGAAAAGTATTTCTGAATTTATTTCTGACCAGCAAGGAAACACCACTGGCTGTGGAGGTGATGGGAATCTTGGAAGAAAGTGATCTTGAGGGTCAGAGCCTGTAGGAGGCATATTTTAAATGAAATAGTGGCAAACTCAAGGCCAGGAAGGCTGCGAGCCCAGGAGGAGGCTGTGAGCTTAGACATCACCGCATGGAGTCCAAGCCTTCTGTGACAGGAGAAAAGGATAGGCAAGGAATGACATGCAAATAAAGGGACCAGCACGGTCCAGGAGACTGGAATCCTGGAGGAGGAAAAGTAGTGCTCAGCAAAATCAGAGGAGTGCAGAGAGAACAGTCACAAAGCCAGGAGCACAACCCATTTATGACCTTCATGTCAGTGGGTCCAGCCTGATCCTGGCCCTTCCACACCCCATCCTGTGGGCAGTTAGGCTGGCAGGCCTGTGCCAGCAGCCAAAGGATTCACCTCATTTTCTGGGGGACTCCAGGGCTTTCTTACCCAGATTCTGCGTAAATACTGCTCAAAGACTATTCCTGCACACCCCTTGTCTCATGGATGCCATCCTCGAGGGCCCGGGAGGCACGGGAAGAGTCCCAGGTTTAATCTGAATTGTCCCAAGGATGGCTATGTGGTAGACAAAATGGCAGGGGAGGGGACGTGGAGACTTGTTTAATGGGTGGAAATTTTCAGTTTTACCAAATGAAAAGCTTCTGGGGATTGCTTGCACAGCAATGTGAATGTACTAAACATTAACTGATTTGTACACTTAAAGAGAGGATTAAAATGGTAAATTTTATGGTACATATATTTTGCCATATTTAAGGACTTAAAAAAAATGGCGGGGCAGGGAGACCCAGCGGTCAAGAACTATTACCTCTTTCTAAACTGGTGCTCACCGGCAATGGGCTGGAGCAGCGAGGCCAGACTGATGTGCCCGGGAAGGGCTGGGCCAGCGGCATTCAGAGCTCAGTGGCCTCTCCTGGCCCACATGCACCTCCGGCTGCCCCTGGGGGAGGCTGGACTTAGAGCATGACCTTCCCTCGCAGAGGGACTCTAAGTGGTGCCACTTAGAGAGCCAACAGAGCTTGATCCACGAAGCCCACCAGCCCATGCAATGACTGTCACAAGTCCCGGCTGCCTAGGGACATAACCCCCAAACCACAGACTCTGAAGAAGCCTCTGGTGTGCAAAGCACTGGGTTTTCTATCCACAGCCCCAAGAAAAGACGTTTCACCTTTGCTGCCTCCATCTAAACATTCTCACTTGTCTTCCCTCTGCCGCTACCTTTTGCCTATTCATTCATCTTTTCATTACTTAATAAACAGCTGTTAAGTGCCTGCCATGTGCTAACAATATCAGGAGGCATCAGTGATTTAATAATAAAGAGGAATCTACCCTCTCACCTCAGGGAGTTGACGGATCAGTGAGAAAGACAGTCAAATACACCTTTGGGATAGACTCAACATCCACCATGGGCGCAGGCAGCGGGGCCGGTACTGCAGCCAAGGGAACGTACTCAGGCCCAGTCTCTTTTTACAGAACCCTATGCAAACCCTGCCTGACTTCAGATTAACCTGATTCTACTTACTGATGCGTTCTCCTGCCACCCTCTTACTCGGAAATTCCCCCTTACGTTAACCTCAAACCTGGCTCCCTCTAAGTTCTCCCCTGTGCTCGTACCTGTTAAGCAGTGCTCAGAGGCCTGTCTTCCTGCCTCGCTGATCACTTCATGCATCAGTTCCCAGATCCTGGCCTTTCCCTTGTACTCCAGTCCCATAATAACCCTGCTTGCCATAGGCATTCCCGCTCTGCGTCCTGCCGTGCCCTCAGACTAGTCCCGATCTTGACCCCTGCCCCAACATGCCCCCAGCTCGAATCTCATGGCTTATTACTCCCTTAAAAAAATTATTTATGGAGGTCACTTAAATCAATCATTATCAGATGAAGCTTTTCTTCTAATACTTAAAAAACAATGAGAAGTACCAGCTCAACAGAAATGTACTCTGAGTCTGGACCATTGTCAATAGAACAGTTTGTCTGAAATTATGGAAAGAGGTGATGTGAAATAAAATCCATCACAATCAAATCAAATGTGTCTGGATGGCCATTACATCTCAGAATAGCAAAGGGATGTTCACCTTGTTACACTAGATGTTACAGACCTCAAAAAACCGTCTGCTCTGACTCTGGACGTCTTTTTCTGAGCCACTGCATGAAGGGTAAGAAACATGGAGCTCTACACACATGCTCGGCTCTATCATGAAGAGTTAACAGAGGGAGTCTTTTTCCTTATTTCGGAATCTCTTTCCACCTTTGACCTCCCTCAGTTTCCCCATCGATTTCCAAAGCCCACCATACTTGGAAGTTTTATCTTTTCCTGGCTTACCCCCGACAGTTTCCCAGACAGGGTTATGAAAGGACATCTCCCTTACTCCCATCTTCACCAGCCAATTCAAGATGCAGGCTAACCAAGGAAAGCGGCTGGTCCAAACCAGAGGATGCTTCCCAATGCTTCCCCAAACCTCCATGTACACAGAGAGGTGGGCTCTCAGGAAAGACGCCACATGGGGCCGTGAAGAGCCTCCCCCTGCACCAGCTATGAAGGCCCAGGCAGACGACTGGCATGGAGGCCAGGACTGAGGTCAGAGCAGGAGGAGACCGGAGAGGAGTGGCAAACTCCTCTGCACAAGTTTTCCAGGCGTAAGTGATATTCTGCTCTGGGAACAAGAACAGTAAATAATATCCAGAAAGAGGAAGCCTTTGGTGGTTTGGAAAATTTTGAGGTCAGTCTGAGCTGGTTCAGACCTTACATCTCCCCAAGAGCTTCCAAGCCTTGCCTGTGCAGACATTACCTGACAATCAAGTTGTCAGAAGCTCAAAAAAGTGCAAAATCTGGAGGAAAAGCCAAGGGAAAAAAAAGGTAAAATTGGACTTCTTAAGGTTGGGCACAGTCGACGGCATTTTCAGTAGAATTATATGTCATGTCTACCAATGTCAAAAAAATGATATGAATTAGAGAAATAGAAGTTTCTTGTTTCTTTACCAGTATCTTTCACTCTAAATTTGCTGGCCACACTGGTTATTAGGATGGCAATAATTGAACATGTTGGAATTAAAGCAATGCCTTAGTTTTGTTTATGAGACTGACCTAAGCATCTAATTTTTAAATTGAACACAGGCAGACTCCACTCCGCCATGCCTCAGACTGTCTTGATCTATTTAGCTGATGGTGTCTAAAAAAATTAACTTCACTTTTTTATTGGCTTAGATCAGAGATTGTTAGGTTCCCAACTGGCTCTGGTATAAAGTCAGCCTTTCCATCTCCCCAGGCAGCAACCCCCTCTGGTGGCAGAGGGGATAACTGCAGGACGACGAGGTAAAAATTTGTCTTGTGCTGTGCTGCTTCCAAAGCCATTTCCTTTGCTCATCTTAACTGATCAGATGCTGAATACATTAACTCTGTGTCTTTAATGGGATTCAAATCATATACAGTTTTAATATTTATTTCATACATCTTTCCTAAGTGTTTAATACGTGCCAAGAATTGTGGGAGGCACTGGGACAACCAAGGAAAACCAGGCAGGGTTCCTGGCACCAAAGAACTTAGTACAGTTCATTTGGGAGACAGGTCAGTGATCAGGCACATTCAGTGTCTCAGGTGGGCGTGGCATGCAGTCAGTGCCCGGCACGGTGCATGCACTCAAATATTTGTTGCAGGAAGGCTGAACAAGTGAGCTGGAAACATGCAGTAGGGACACCTAACCCAGGCTCAGTAGTGCTGGTGCAGGGCCTTGAAAACATATATGCCAATACACTAACTTAATGTGCTTGTTTGGAGAAGAATCTTCGAGACAGACATATTTTACACCATGATGGCACTAGATAGTCAACCTGTACTTATGTGGAAAATTTTAGATAACCAGAATACTCTATTCTGCAAAATGTGAATTACCAAAAGTCTTATGTCTTTTGAGCAAAGCTATTATATTTATTTAACACAATCTCACTGCATGCTTGGTTAGAAGTGCCAAGTCCCGTGCCATTTGGTTACATGGGGAAGAAGAGATATACAAACCTTTCTTCTCTTGCTTGCCTTTGCTCCTCTCTTTTGTCTAAATACTCTCGGCTAATGGAAATATAAGGAAGAAACAAAACAGTGAAGAAAAAAACAGAATTATATGCTCAGAAAATTGCCAAGAAATTATTAACAGTACAAAATGAAAGCCCACTATTGCCTCAGAAATGGAAAGTGGTTGTAGTTGAATTTTTGAAAACCAAGGGGAAAGTGTGGACTTTAAAAGTCCTAAGTACAATGCATTTTCTATAAAATCACAAGGAGTCCAAAAACATGGGATTATTGGATGCACTCAGAGACATGACCAATTACTCTTTGGAAAGAAGAATGCAAGCATATGAGGGAAAGGGAGAAGAAAAAAATTTTTAGAGTCAAACAGTACATAAATAAAATGTGGCAATGACAAGCAAGCAACAGCTTTCAGAGGTGATTAACAGTCCATCCAGCTCTGGTAGCTCTACAACTTTCCCCTCCAGAGTGAAATCGGAGTGGTTCTGAGTGTCGCGGCCATTTTGTGTTGCCCTCCTCAGTTTGGACATTCCTCCCACAGCCCGGAGCTCTTTTTCTGCATCCCTCATGTTCTGCTTCTCTGCAGGGATCACTGGAAGCTCCTGCTTTGTGCCTCCTCTTTTGTCTGTACCCATGAGATGTCCAATTTTGTCCAATTTTAATGTTTGGGGTTTTTTTTGTTTTGTTTTGTTTGTTCCTCCTGGTGAGGTTCCAACATGAACCTAAGTTTAAGACCATGTGATCAGTCACCTGTCGGTAGACCACTTATTTTACTGGGGAATTCTGACATTGTGGTTTCCTACACTGGGCCTAACATAGTTTAAGCATTCTACGCCTCAGTGCACTGGTAACTGGATGTAAAGGAGCAGTAAGTGAGACCAGCGAAAACAGGTTAGGAGAAGGAGAGAAAAGCAAAAAAGACTCAAATTTGTCATCATTTATCAATATCCATCTTCATCACTTTCCATACTAGAAGTAAAGTTTTTGAAAACCCAAGAAGTTTAAGAACATATTCAACAAGAACAACAGCTGCTAAGGAACAACTTTTAGGTGGTATGCAAAGAAAAAACACACAAGGAGTATGAGTAACTTAAATCAGTGTAATGGGTAATGAAAGGTTATCCATTCGGGTAACTTTTATACAGCTTTCCCTACTTCCTGTGTTGAATTTCTTTTCATTCACATCCTCAGACTTTTAGGAAGAAACTGCTGGCATTGTAATTAATAGTTGTGTGTGGCTTGTCCTGATGATCAGCATTCCTTCCTGGACAAGGTTTATTTAAATGTTCTCTCTGTATATATATGTATATGTATATACATACATATATACACATGTATATACATGTACATATACATGTATACACACACACATCTATATACATATGTATATACACACACACACATTGAGAGAGTGAGGATTAGACCCAGGCAACCTGTCTTCATAGACCTTGCTCATAATTGTGCGCTATTTGCTCTTGGTGCCCAGTGGGTCTCATTTGTCATGTAAGAGCACAGAGAGATTCTAGTTATGATATCCACTTTTTGTTATATGTCATATATATCAGATATATGACATATATACTATAACATAGTGACTAAGCATATATTGCAATGCATTATACACTCTTGTTCTATTATTTTGGGGCTCAAATGACATGAATGGTAGACATTTAGGTATTGTTCTATGGGTCCCTGAGAAACTGCTCATTTTTTTCAATGTTTTTGTTTTGGTTCTCAGATTGGATAATTTCGACTGTTCTCCCTTGAAGTCCATGGTTCTTTTCTCATCTTTATTCAGCTACAGAGCCCACCTGATGCATTTTTATTTTGGTCGTTGTATTTTTCAGTTCCATATGTATTTCCACTTAGTTCTTTATATTTTCTATTTCTTTGCAGAGACTTAACTTTTCATTTGGTTAAAAATTATTTGCCCTTACTTCTCAGAGCCTGTCATAATAAATGCTTTAAAGTCTTTGTCTGATAAAGACAACATCCTTTTGTGGTTAGCATATTTTGATTCTCTTTTCCTTCTGAGTTAAGTTTGTCCTGGCTCTTTGTATCACGAACCATTTTGGATTGCATTCTGTACATTTTAAAATATTTTGCAAAGAGGCTCTGGATCTTATTTAGATTCTATGAAGAACATTGATTGTTTTCTTTTGTTTTCCTTTAGAAGGCAAACAACTAAGTTAGGTTCAGCCTGTAAGTTCCGTCTTCTTATATTGATTCCAATATTAGCTCAGTTTTCAAATATTTTTAGTTCAAATATTTGAGCTATTGAACTCAAGCCCTGTGTGTACCACCCAGGGCCAGTCTGGGACCTGAGCGGCGGTCCACCTGTTCTTAGTTCTCATGTCTGTGGTACGCTGCCTAGGTCCTGGGCCATGCTTTCACTAATAGGTACTTTCTCAAAATCTCTGCACTGTCCTACCATTTCCCAGCTTTCTTGGGTTTTCCCTTCCTAGTCCTCTAGCCAGAAAGCTTGGGCTTTGTTTCTCCTGCTCTGATGCATACTTTCAGTAACTCCATCTGCACCTGGGGCAACACGGCAGGAGGACACAGAGAGAAAAATGGTGATGTGCCTAGTGCTCCTGGGGTCACAGCTCTTCTGGTCAGAGGAAGGGCCGCCCTCCCTCAGAGTTTAGGCAGCTGCCTGGACACTGCCACCATCTCCGTGCTTCTGTAACAATGTTGCTTGGAGGCTGGGGTAGGAGAGAAGGAAAAAATATGGAAAAACAAAAGCCAACAAGAGATTTCCTCTACTCTCTGACCCTCAGGAATTCTTCTTACTGCTTTTTAGCCCCAAAAGGGGGCCTTCTCTTACAGTTCTTTCAGTACACGCTTAGTACGTGCATGTGGGTTTTGGGGTGTCTTTAAGGCTGAGCCTGGTGGTGATCGGAAGGACAAAATGGTCAGCTTTCACTGAGTAGGTGGGACGTTGAACACAAGGCTCCTTCCCCGATTCCCCTGCTCCCTCTAACCCTGCAGAGGCTTTGGAGCTCCATGCACCCCGTCCACAATTTGTGGGGTACGCAGTGATGCAGAAGAGACAGAAGGGGACTGTGCTGACTCCATTTTACTCAGAACTGCTGCCCTGCTTTCAGAGGCTTTCAATCAAAATTCTTATATGTGTATCTTAATCTCTGAACTTTCCAGGTGTTTTAGTCAGATTCTCTGCTGCTATTTGGTGGTAAAATATGCAAATCTTCCAGAAAGCCCTGCCACAGGAAGCATTTAACCTGTTCCAGTGGTTTTTACAAATTGGTCTTTCCAAAAGTGACAACTTCCAGAGCTACGTCATGAGCAATGGTGCATACAGGTCTGGCGTTTCCATATATCACTTGGTAGAAATCTGACAGCCCAGGGTATGCCACCCAATCTTGGTGGGGGCTGAGGTTGGTTCACTTCATGCAGCCCACTAACTGAGTCTTACAAAAGCCAGGACTGGTGTTTCAACACAGACTTGGGATATTTGTTTTCACATGGTGGTGAGTCACAGTTATGGCAAGTTCACAATTCTGCTCTTATTTTGATCATTTCTACAATTACACATACTCTTCCTGGCTCCTGAAAAAGAAGGTTATTGAATTTGTAAATCCTCATGGACAATGCTTTACATTCTTTGTAGGTTTAACTGGAAGTAATTGATGGGAATATTATTTGCCACAGAAAATAAATTGAGGAAAGAGGAAATGGAAACAGGGAGAGAAATGAAAAGAAGAAAAAAATGCAGAGGCTATAGGAAAGATGACTGGGAAGATGAAGAAGGGGGGAGATAAGGAGAAGGCAAATAGAAAGGAGGGGAAAGAAAGAGGAAGGAAAGGATGACTAGAAGGAGTGAAATGTGTATGGAAAGACTTAGCAAATGTTTGGCATTCCATGAAGCACTGCATAGTATGAAGCTCAGGGGAGGGGAGCGGATGGAGATGAGGATGGGGAGAGCAAGTGAATTGTCTGAAAAAGAAAAAAAGCAACACTGGACACAGTAGGGGTAGACAGGTTAAGACATGGTACCTGGTGTGGGTCACATGCAGGAATATCTTCTTGGAGCTGAACAGAGATTGGGTGACAATGGGCTGGGAGTAATCAGCACAATGACTTTTCTTTCCCTCATAGAAGGATAGATTATTGTTTTAAAGAAAATATTAACAGTTGCTACAGGGAACAAGAAGCAACCCCGAAAGTGAAAAAAGCATTTATTTTAGGCATGCAATAGACTATGAATAAAATTACGAATAAAACATGAGTAACTTTAGAGGGAGTGGCAAATTAAGTTACGACAATTAGGTTCTCTGTCTTTAGGGAGACCTGGAGAGGACCATTTTAGATGATGGAGGACTCAGAATACACAAATCCTTAATTGTATTTGACTTGTTAGCTGTGCTTCCTGCCATGTGGTTAGAGGGGGAAAAAGGTCGTAACAAACCAGATCTATCCTATTGCAGGTATGTCTTGTTCTTCCTTGAAAATAGAGACAAAATCCAAAGAAAATGCAAATTTCTGAATCCTATAGCACTATTATTAATCATACAGATCTAAGAAGGCATGTGCTTTAATTTCAATTAATTATTTAAAAAATTTGAAAATCCTTCTTACCTGAATTTGTTCCTTTCTTCCCGTTCTATTCTCTGCAACCTTTCTTCTCTCTCCTGTCGCCGCCTCTCTCTCTCTGCCGCCAGGGACTCTTGGTGCTGCCTAAAGGATGATGTGAGAAGACCACTCAGTGATGACCTAAAGATATAATGAGTTAATGTTTTAGTGGGCTGGCCTACGATTAAAAGTATTGAAGTAGGAATCAATCAGGCCTTGGTTAGAACTGTGAGTCTTCCGGTACCTAGGTAGTACTTGGGGAAAATAACTAAGTGTCTCAGGTCTTGTGTTTTAGGATCTTCATCTCTAAATGGAGATAAATAACTTGCTTCATACACTGGGAGGACAAAAAGATGTAATGTATATAAAATACTAAGCATTCTGCACAGTAAAGGAAATTATCAACAAAAAGACAAACCAGAAAATGAGATAAAATATTTGTAAATAATCTTTATGATAAGGGGCAAATATCTAAAATAAATAAAGAACTCCTCATATAACTCTATAGCAAAAAAAACAATCTGACTAAAAAGTGGACAGATCTGAATAGATACTTCTCCAAAGAGGACATATGGAGGGCCAACAGCACCTGAGAAGATGCAGTGCACCCCTAATCATAAGGAATATGCAAATTAAAACCACAGACATAAACCCCCCTGCCACCTGTCAGTGTGGCTATCATCAATAAATCAACAAATAACATGTGCTGATGAGAATGTGGAGAAAAAGGAACTCTCATGCACTGTTGATGGAATTATAAATTGGTGCAGCTGCTGTGGAAAATGGTATGGAACTTCTACACAGCAAAGGAAACCATCCACAAAACAAAAAGGGAACCCACGGTATGGGAGAAGATATTTGCCAATGATATATCTGATAAGGGGTTAATATTCACAATTTATAAAGTGCTCATATAACTCAATACCAAAAAAAAAACCAGAACAAAACCCAAATAATCCAATTAAAAAGTGGACAGAGGATCTAAATAAACACTTCTCTAAAGAGGATATATGGAAGGCCAACAGACATATTAAAGATGCTCAACATCATTAATCATCAGAGAAATGTAAATTAAAACCACAATTAGATACCATCTCATACCTATCAGAATGGCTATCATCAAAAAAGCAACAAGTGTTGACCAGGACGTGGAGAAAAGGGAACCCTCATGCACTATTAATGGGGATGCAGACAGGAACAGCCACTGTGGAAAACAGTATGGCATTTCCTCAAAAAAATTAAAAATGGAACTGCCTTATGACCCAGCAATTCCACTTTTGAGAATATAATCAAAGAAACCCAAAACACTAATTTGAAAGAAAGTATTCACCCTGATATAAAGAGTATTATTTACAATAGGCAAGATATGGAGCAACCTAAATGCCCATCAATAGATGAGTGGATAAAAAAAGTGGTGGTACATATATAAAATGGAATATTACTCAGCTGTAAAAAGGATGAAATCTTGCTATTTGAGACAGCATGAATGGACCTAGAGGGTAGTAAGCTAAGCGAAATAAGTCATTCAGAGAAAGACAAATATCATATGATGTCACTTATATATGGAATCTAAAGAACAAAATAAACAAACAAAATTGAAACAGACTCATAGATACAGAGAACACACTGATTATTGCCAGAGGGGAGGGGCTTGGGGATTGGTTGAAAAAGATGAAGGGATTAAGAAGCACAAATCTGTAGTTATAAAATCCTCATGGAGATAAAAAATATAGCATATGTAGTCCATAATATTGTAATAACTATGCATGGTGCCAGATGAGTAATAGAAATATTGAGGTACATACTTTGTAAAATATATAATTATCTAGCCACTCTCTTGTACACTTGAAACTAATACAGAATAATATTGAATGTAAACTGTAATGGAAAAACAAAATTTTTAAAAGTATGACTCTTGTATCATACACATTGTTCCATAAGCCCCCCAGCCACTCTCTAGAAAAAGTGAGTCACCCTGGTTATCAGTTGGAGGTGGTAGGAGAAGTAAAGGGAAGAATCTCCATCCCTGATGGCTACAGGGTAGGAGTAAACAAGTCCCATAATCTAGGTTGGGAGCTACTTCATCAACCCTGGACACTTAGGCATAGACAGAATTGTATTTATTTTTCACATGAATGAAGTCTAGACTATCTTGTATAATTTCTATCTTGTTTAAGTTATGTTATTTTTTTTTCTGTTACCTATAGTCAGTCTAAATCACAGAGAGGAGAGAGGTTTCCTATACTGCTTGCATAGTGTCTTATAGAAAGTATTATACATATACAAGATTTGTTTGATCTGATTAAGTTTCAGCTTATAGATGCGCATACATAACCTGGTGCCCTAAATTAGAGAAAATACATTCTTCTCAAACACACAGGGACTACTCAAAAACTGACCATCAATCTTGCCACAAAGCTCAGGAATGAATGCCCAGAATTGGTTTTATATGGGCTACCTTCCTAACCACAATACAACCGAGTTGAAAATAGGGAACAAGAAGATAAATGTGAAAAATACATATTAACTGAAAAATTTTAAATTCTTCTTATTAACTCAGGTCAAAAAAGAAGAACACAGAAAATTAGAACATAATCAAAAAGTACTATAATGAAAGAAACTATCAAGATTTGTAGGATACTTCTAAAGTAGCATTATGAGGAAATTCATTGCCTTTATTAGTGTTTATATTTTAAAGAAAAGTAAAAATTTATGAGTGCTCAACTCAACAATATGAAAAGCAACAATGGATTAAATTAAAAGAAGACAAAGGAAGGAAATAAACATAGAACAAAAACTAATGAAATAGGAAAATGAAGATTTATTAAAAAATCAATAAAACAAGAACCCGGCTGCTTATAATTTTTTGAATTAATAAACAGGGAAATTCTTTCAAAACTGTTCAAGAAAAAAAGATGTAAATAGCAATATTCAAAAATGATAGGCAGATAGATAAAATTATAGATATAGCAGAAATCAAAAAATTATGGGAAAATTTTAGGACAATACATTTTAAAACTTTAAAAGTTGGTGATTTTATAAAAATATATAACATCAAATCTGACTCAGGAAGAAATAGAAATTTTGGATAACCCTATTAACCATTAAAGAAATTGAATCAATTAATCACAGATATAGCCACAAACATCAAAAAACAAACAACAAAAACAAAAGCCCCTCTAGGCTCAGATTCTCAGTGATTCTACCACTAGAGAAGGAGTTCATCTTAATCACATACCAAGTTTGAGAAAACAAATTGAAGGAAAGCTCTCCAATTTGCTTTACATGATTAATATTACTCTGACACCAAATTCAGACAAGAAATAGCATGAGGATAGAAGTTGATATACTGATTGCAGTTAGGAAAACCACTGCAAAAATCTGAAATAAAATCTTCTGGTTTGTGCAATGAATGCAAGGATATTTTAAGATGAGGACATCAAAGAATATAATTTACTACATTAATAGATTGTAAGAGAAAAGCCATGACTACCTCCGTAGGTGCAGAAAAAGCTTTCAACTCAATACTCATTTGTTATTAAATAAAAAAAACACAACTTTTATCAAGCTTAGAAATAGAAGAGTTTTCTTAACCTGACAATGGGTACTTAGTAAAGAAATTTTCTAAAACTATGGTAAGCACCATTCTAAATGCTGAAACATTCAGAGCAGTTTTAATATTAGAAATGATATAAGGATGCTCCATCATTGCTTATATTTGATGTTATTCCGGAGGGCTTAGTACACAAGGATAAGAAAAACACAAACACTGACATCATTTCCTTATTTAAAATTAGGATGTTGGAGTTTGTTTGAAATTAGAAGAGTATTAGAACTTGAGAAAGTGAAAAGTGTCCAGTCTTGTCAGATGGATGAAGTCACTCCTTCCTGGGCGCCTGAGGGTGGGCAATGCAGATCACCCGCAGCCCACCTGGACCTGGCGAGCATGGACCTCACGCTGGCTCGGAGGCCAGTGTACACCAGGAACACACCTGCGCGCAGCTCTAAGAACATGTGGACGCTCTTTGCTCAGTCATTTCAGTTCAGAAAGAACTGCTAACTCCAAGCAATGAGAAATGGTTCTTCTTTTCCCAAAATAAAGCAAAATGCCTGGAGCAAATCAAGATCCATCCTCTTGGGTTCCCCTGACACAGATCCCTGTAGCATGAAGAGAGAATTAATTAAAGGGTTCCTAACAGCTTCCCTGTCCTGGATGCATGTAAGCCACTTTGGTTCTACAGGAAACAAAGGGTTATAAATATAATGTTAATAAGTTAAAGTTCCCTACATCTTCTGCTACCTAGATTAGCCAAGCATGTGAGAGCAAATACCCTGCTCCTATAAATCCTGTTTCTGGAAATGGGCCCCACCTATAGCACTAATGCTGGGATGCATTCAAACCATACACCAGGGGGATATCCCAAATCACAATTTTAAAAACAACCCAAACACCAGAATTCAAGCTAACATAGTAAATTTGTCTATTTATAAAGGCATCTTTAACAGATTTTTATCTTTCATGTCAAGTTTTTCAGGAAAATACCTACTGTTATTGGAAGTTGCTGCAATGTTTCCTCTTGGCTGGTCTGAGAACCAGCTATGACATAAAGTAATAAATACAGGGTTTGGACTGAGAAAACCTGAGTGTGGCCACTCACTTAGCCTCTCTGAGCCTCGGTTTACTTGTTTGTAAAATGAAGATGATAATACGCCCAACTCATGAAGGATGATAAAATTAAAATGAGAAGCACATGTGAGTTTGCTCAGACCATTATCTTGGCCACAGTAGGCCCTCATGTTGGGAGTCTACAATCTGTAGAGGCGAGGCAAGGCTTGACTGCAGCCCCCAAGGCCAGATCTGGAATATGTTGCTGGAATATGTAGCCTGAGAAACTAGAGTGGGTTGGGAATTTGATCTGAACCTTCTCAATGTGGCCACCAGCTGGGTGATCAGGACTGCATGCCACCCTAGAATGCACCTGGGCAGCTGAAGTCATATAAGTTACAACTGAGGCAGCTGAAACATAGTGAAGCCACACAGGAATGCAGGTGGTGAGAAGCCAGCGGGCTTGCAAGGGAGTGGATGATATACTCGGAGTGAAAATCGTGATATTTATTCTTGGCCACACCAGGCTCAAAAA